TCTGTTTCTCTTCCCTCCTTCTTCTTTCTGTCTGTCTCTTTTTCTCTTTCTCTTCGTCTGTCTCTCTCCTTCCCCCTCCTCTCTGTTTCTCTTCCCTCCCTCTTCTTTCTGTCTCTGTCTCTCTCTCTCTCTCTGAGTTTGTCTCCCTCCCTCTCCCTCTATCTCTACCCAATCTTCCTCAAAGGGCTATTATTCTATGGATAATAGCAACAGCAGTGGCAATCAGACTTACATACCACTTCACAACGCTTTACAACCCTGTCTAAGTGGTTTACAGAGACAGCCTATTGCCCCAACAATATTTCCCCTCGTTTTATCAACCTCAGAAGGATGGAAGGCTGAGTCAACCCTGAGCTGACGAGACTCGGACTGCTGGCAGCCGGTAGTCAGCAAAAGTAGCCCGCCGTACTGCATTCTAACCACTGTGCCACTCCAGCTCAATAGCAAATTAATGTCTGATATCAGAAATATCAAACATTAGAGTCCTAAGTACAGTGTGTTAAGTTGATGGACGAAAGGCAGGCAAGAAATGCAAGGAATAAATCAATTAAATAGTGTTTGGTACCTGATGTAGGCTTCCGTACTGCTGGGTCCTCTTAGCTGATCTTCCATGAGGTAGGTATTATGCGAAGAAGATATATAATAATGGCTGAGGGGTTGGGTCATATCCTGATACACTTGGTTGTGAGCTTTATTGAAAACATTCCCATCCGCAGAAAGCAAATACATCTGGAAACCATCTTTGCTCATGGACTTCTGTATTTTAACTGCAAAAAGTTGGAATTAAAAAAAAAAGAAAATCATATTCTAGGACTATTGTTGTTTAACTTCCTTTTTTCCTTTTTTCCAATATAAGTCGTCTTCAACTGTTGCTTAGGGACCATTTTAAGTTACAATGACACTGAAAAAAGTGACAGGATAGTTTTTCACACTTACTTTAGCTTACTTTGTCATTGCACCTCGTACAATGAAATCAAACATCATCTTCAGGGCACATCATGACCATGAAAATAAAAACAAACGCACATCCTTCACCCTCCACACATTGAACCGAAAACCCCCGAAAACCCTCGACAACGTAATAAGCTCCTCAAATAAAATCAAAAGTTCTGTCTCAAATGAAGCCAAAAAAATCCCATTTTAACAAAAAGTCACAGCCCCAAGATTTTTCTGTAATTTAACACGTAGTTAATATTGTTGATCACCAAAAGCTAAGAAGAATCAGGCCTGATTTAGTATTTGGATGGGAAAAATCCCAAGGGTATGAACTACTAGACTGTAAGTCTATATTTTAGTTTAGTTTTCTTTATCGTCCTTGCACCTCGTACAACGAAATCAAACACCATCTTCAGTGTACATCATGACCACGACCATGAAAATAAACAGAAACACACATCCTTCACCCTCCACACACTGAACCGAAACCCCCTGACAACGCACCAACACTGCACTATACAGTAGAATCCAACAGAGCTACTGTCCTGGGATAGAAGCTGTTTTTCAGCCTATTTGTCCTTGTTTTTATTATTCTGTACCATATGTCAGATGATAATAGTTCAAAAAAAAAAGGAGGTCCCAGGATGAGATGGATCTTTGAGAATGTTTTGAACTTTCTTAAGACAGCGGGAGCTATAAAGCTCTTCCAAAGAGGGGAGAGGGCAACCCATGATCCTCTGAAGGGCAATGACATTAACCCTCTGTCCTATCTGCCACTGTGCAATTGGCAAACCATACAGAGGTGCAGTATATTAAAGTGCTCTCTATGGTGCAGCAATAGAAGGTCACCAGCAGTTTTTCATTCAACTGTTGTTTCCTGAGAAGTCTGAAGTAGTATAATCTCTGCTGGGCCCTTTTGACCAGGGCTGCAATGTGAGCACCCCAGGTCAGGTACTCTTTTATGGGAACACCCAGAAACTTAAAGCTGGCCATTGGATGTCTGATCTGTTCCTTCTACAGTCCACTATAAGCTAGCTAGCATTTTCTCTCTTTCTCTCTCTCTCTCTCTCTGTGTGTGTATGTGTGTGTGTATGTGTGTGTGTATGGATGGATGGATGGATGGATGGATGGTATTCAGCTTTGTTCGGGTATTTTCCCACGTCATTGTAGATGTGCTGTACAAACAATTGTAAAAGTCTGACTCACAGACGAACACAATACAGAAGCCTGATGATGGCAGATGAGATTCTGCCGAAACATTGCTACAACTTTAAAAGCACAATTACAATGACATTATGGCCATGTGATCAAAATCAGATGCTTGACAACTGACTCATATTTATGAAGGCGCAGTCTCCCAAGGTCATGTGATTATCTTTGGCGACCTTCCGACAACCAGAACCAATGGGGAAGCTAGATTTGTTTAACAACTATGGCAAGGAAGGTTGTAAAATAGGCAAAACTCCCTTAACAACAGTTGTACTGAACAACAGCTCCTGTGGTTGTAAGTCAAGGACTATCTATTCATACAAACAACTAAATAATGAAGAATTTAATATTAAGAAGCTTAAGACAGAAACTTCTGTTATATAACAAATAATTTAATACATTTTGCAGTTGTTAATGAACGTTGCACAGCTCTAAATGCAGAATTTAAACAACCTTATGCTTATCAACATTAACATCTTAGAAAAATAGTTAATATTGATGTATTTTTTAAAAAGATTTAAGTTATCTAAAACATCAGAGAGTCAATACATTTGAGGCAATACTGCATAAATATCCCTACACCCAAATAATATATTACCTGAGCTTTAAAATAATATAATAAAGTAATATAGAATAGAATAGAATTATTTATTAGCCAAGTGTGATTGGACACACAAGAAATTTGTCTTGGTGCATATGCTGTAAAAATATTTACAGACCCCTCACATCCTGGACACAAACTGTCTCAATTCCTACGCTCAAAATGACGCTATAGAGCACTGCACAACAGAACAACCAGGCACAAGGACAGGCCACTTCTGTTCCATTGGTTGATTGTTCTCACTGTTAGAAAATTTCTCCTTATTTTCAGATTGAATCTTTCCTTCTTCAGTTTCCTTGTCTGGCCTTAGGGTGCTTGGGAAAATAGGTTGACCACATTGTGGTTCATTGACAGCCGGTGCAGACGGCAGCGGAGTCGGACAGAGGGGAAGAAAGGGGACCAGTTAGGGAGTTTGGAAAGGACTTGGACGAGGGTCCTGCATATGATGCACAAGTGGGGCCAGGACCATCTGGGAGTGGGGTGCTGCCTCTGGAGTCTGGCAGCAGCGAGGTAGAGTTGGGGTGCCTGTTCCCAGTGCGTGTGAGCTGCTAGAAGGCAAGAGCAGCTGAGACAAAAGAGGCGACTTGGGAGTGAGGCTTGGAGGTGATTGCCCCTCCCATAAGATATAAAGAAAGTACAAAGGTAGATAAACCTTTGCAGGAAGCAAAGTCATTCGCTCTGTTCGGATTAAACCTTGAAGCTCTGTGTGGACTTTGTACTTTGGTTGTTTTTTTTTAATAATTCATTTAGCACTCTAGTTGTTGGCAGCAATTCAAAGGAAAGGAAGATGGGTGCTTATCTCGAAGGGACTGTTTGGGACTCATTACCGGCTGGGAATGAAAATAATTCCCAGCGTTGCAATAAAACAAGAGTTGTTTTAACTAAGACTGTGCTTAATTATGGTCTCAGGAAGCCTTGGTCAGAACACGTCCGTCCCCCCCCCCCGAGGCAGCCCCCCCAAATATTGGAAGACTGCTATCCTGTCTCCCCTGATCCTTCTCTTCACTAGACTAGCCAGGCCCAGTTCCTGTAACTGTTCTTCCTATGTTTTAGTCTCCAGTCCCTTCATCATCCTGGTTGCTCTTCTCTGCACTCTTTCCAGAGTCTCAACATCTATTTTTATAGTGTGGTGACCAAGACTGGATGCCCACCTGTAGGTATCCCCAATTTACCTGTTTCGTTGGGCTCATATTGCTCAATGAGAGAGAGGGCCAAATTAGGGCCATCCCCCTCCTCGTGCTGTTGCTGCTGGAGGAATCGAACCAGGTGCTCCAGGGACATGACCGACTTCTCCCCTGCATGATCCGAGAAGATTCCGTCAATCTCCTTGCGTTCCGTCAATATCTTGTAGAACACCTCTATCTCTTCATCTTCCAAGGTGTCGGTCTGGGATTTGTCACATTGCTGTGGATGTAGAGGGAAGAAATAAAAGAACTTCTTCTTTATACGACGCAACCTAAAACAGGGCTGGACAATGCAAAACAGGGCAATCAATGGAAAACTGTCAACTTTGCTGGCCTTCGAAGCATCGCTGACCACGGAGATAAGCTGGAATAAGAAATTCACACATTCGTCTGGCCGTATGGACTCTCCTTTTGTGGGGGAAAAAACCGGAGTCTTAAATTTAGAACTAGCAATTAAAATTCTCTTTCCCCCCTCTCTCCTTTCTCCGCACAAACCAAACCCAAGTCTATGGATATTCTCCATTATCCTGCTCACAGTTGTCCCAAGGATGATTTTTTTAACAAGTAACTTCCTTTGTTTTTCTTTGAAGACATTTCGCTTCTCATCCCAGAAGCTTCTTCAGTTCGGAAGAACTGAACTGAAGGTGAACCCAAGAAGCTTCTTGGTTTTTCTTCAAAGTCCAGTTGCCTTGCGAAAAAGCAACTTTGGGACAAAATCCAAGACACATTTTGCAATCATTGCAGCTGAGAGAATCTGACACATATACCCCTCATGCTTTGGGGGTGCTTGCAAAGCAGTTTAGGGCCCAGATTACAGTTCTATCCCATTCTTCCTGTCATTAAGTGAGGACTATCTATACAGAGGAATGATTGAGTCTGTCATCTGCACCTCTATAACTGTCTGGTTTAGTTCTGCAAGCCACAGGAGAGACACAGACTCCAGAGAGTAATTAGGACTGCAAAAAAGAACAATTACTACCAACCTGCCTTCAATCGAGGACCTGTATCCTGCACGAGTCCAAAAGATGGCTGTGAAAATATCTACAGACCCCTCACATCCCGGACATAAACTGTTTCAACTCCCACCCTCAAAACGATGCTACAGAGCACTGCATACCAGAACAACTAGACACAAGGAGAGTTTCTTCCTCCATACCATCACTCTGCTAAACAAAGAATTCCCTCAACACTGTCCAACTATTTACTAAGTCTGCACTACTATTAGTGTTAATCTTCTCATCACTCCTTATCACCCAGGCCCTCCCACTTGTGACTGTGTGACTGTAACTTTGTCGCTTGTATCCTTACGATTCATATTGACTGTTTCCTAGTATGATTTGATTGCTTATTGCGCTCTATGACTATCATTAAGTGTTGGACCTGATGATTCTTGATGAATGTCTCTTTTCTTTTATGCACACTGAGAGTATTTGCAACAAGACAAATTCCTTGTGTGTCCAATCACACTTGGCCAATAAAGAATTCTATCCTATCCTATCCTAATTCTTAATCTATTCTATTCTATCAAATATCAATGTGCAACATTGCACTGGGAGCTATTGATACAGGTTCTCCTTGACATACAACTGTTAGAAGTTACAACAGCGCTGAAAAAAATTCAGATGACAATTGTTCACACGTATGACCATTGCAGCCTCTCCATTGCAGCCACGTGTTCAATATTTAGATGCTTGGCAACTGATTCATACTTATGACCCCATTGCCATGTCCCAGGATCTTGTGATCTTCCTTTGTGACCTTCTCACCATCAGAAGTCAATGGGGAAGCCAGATTCACCTCAAAACTCTGTCACCCACTTAACAACTGGCCCACTTAACAACGGTGGCAAGAAAGGGCATAACACGAGGCAAAATTCACTTAACAACTTTTGGGCTCCATGGTAGTCGTAAGTTGAGGACTACCTGTATTTGGTAGTATAAGAAGTCACTTAATGACAGTCATCAGGACCAGCAATTCTGTCATTTAGTGACATGTTTGTGAAGCAAGATTATGTGATTGTAATCCCAGCACTTGGCAGCTGTTTTGCAATTAGGATGTCACCATGTCCCACAGTCACATGATCACACCTGTTACCTTCCCTGCTAGTTTCCTATTGTGGTTCGCCGGCAACCTGTGCAAACGGCAGTGGAATCAGACAGTGGGGAAGAACATGGATCAGTCCAGAAGTCTGGAGAGGTCCTGCATCCAATGCAGAGATGGGGCCAGGACCACCTGGGAGTGGGGTGCTGCTCCGGAGCTTCCAGAATCTGGCAGGAGCAAGGCAGAGGACCCAGGGGAGCCTGTTCCCAGTGCGCGTGTGTGCAGAGCTGCTAGAAGGCAAGAGCAGCTGAAACAAAAGGGGCGACTCGGGAGTAAGGCTTGGAGCAGACGTGGTATTCAGCAGGTTCTGACCAGTTCTGGAGAACCAATAGGGGAAATTTTGAGAACTGGTAAATACCACCTCTGACTAGATATTTTACAGTATCCTTCCCCTGCCGTGCCAACCAAGCCACGCCCACAGAACTGGTAGTAAATTTTTTTGAATCCCACCACTGGCTTGGAGGTGATTGCTCCTCCCATAAGGTATAAAGGACAGGCAAAGATGACAAAACCTTTGCAGGAAGCAAAGCCATTCGTTCAGTTCAGATTCATTCTTGAAGCTTTTTGTACTTTGGTTGGTTTTTTTTCTAGTTCATTTGCTACTCCTGTTATTGGCAGCATTTCACAGGAAAGCAAGGTGGGTGCTTATCTCGAGGGACTGTTTTAAGATTCATTACCGGCTGGGAATGAAAACAATTCCCAGAGTTGCAATAAAATAGGACTTGTTTTTAAAATAAGTGTGTGCATAATTACGGTCTAGGAGGCCTTGGTCAGAACACTTCCTAGCAAACCTTATTTTCCCGAAATTTAAAGTCAGAGGAGTCCTAAAATAAAGAAGAAACCAAAAAATAAATAAAACCCCTTTTTGTTACCTCAAAGATTTGCCTGGCATAGCTGTCATCCATCTGAATGTTGACTTCCTTCATGAAACTTTTGAGTTCCTTAAAGGTCATCTTGTTATCTTTGTTTTTATCTGCTTTCCGCAGGCAAGTATGGATCCAGCTGTTGAAATGATTATTAAGGAATCTACATGGGAAGGAGACGTTAAACCCAGTATTTAAAATTAAATATTTAGAAGCTAAGGTTCGTGATTCTTCAAACCTTTAAGATTCTTCAAACCTTTAGAATGAAACCTTTGATTCAGTGGTACACGACAAACTACTCCTAAAACTAAAATCTTATGGTATCTCTGGACACCTGCATAACTGGATAGAAGAATTCCTGTCAAACAGACAACAAATGGTCAAAATTGAGAGCGTCCTATCAAATTCTGTACCTGTCAACAGTGGTGTCCCCCAAGGCAGTGTTCTAGGACCAACTCTCTTCATACTCTACATAAATGACCTCTGTGATCATATCAAGAGCAACTGCGTTCTCTTCGCTGATGATGTAAAGCTATTCAACACCATAGACAATACTGCTACCCTTCAAAAAGACCTCGACTATGTATCAGAATGGTCAAACAAATGGCAACTTCAAATCTCAACAAATAAATGCTCTGTCTTACATATTGGCAAAAAAAATTATCAGAAAATAAAATACAGGCTGAATAGTCAAGACCTTGTTGATGATCCAAACTCTGTCAAGGACCTTGGAGTATTCATCTCAAATGATCGAAGTGCTAGAGCCCACTGTAACTACATAGCAAAAAAGGGGTTAAGAGTTGTTAACCTAATCCTACGTAGCTTTTTCTGTGGTAATATTACACTACTAACTAGAGCATACAAAACATTTGCTAGACCAATACTCGAATACAGCTCATCAGTCTGGAACCCACATTACATATCTGATATTAGCACAGTGGTGAAAGTCCAGAAATATTTCACAAGAAGAGTTCTCCACTCCTCTACTCGTTGCAGAATACCTTATGCCACCAGACTTGAAATTCTAGACCTAGAAAATCTAGACCTACGTATACTATATAAAATCATACATTGCAATGTCCTACCTGTCAATAAATACTTCAGCTTCAACCATAACAATACAAGAGCAAACAATAGATACAAACTCAAGGTTAATTGCACCAAACTTGATTGCAGGAAATACGACTTCAGCAACAGAGTGGTCAATGTCTAGAATACTCTATCTGACTCTATGGTTTCTTCCCCAAACCCCAAAAACTTTAACCTTAGACTGTCTACTATTGACCTCACCCCTTTCCTAAGAGGTCTGTACGGGGTGTGCATAAGTTCACCAATGTGCCTACTGTCCCTCTCATATTGTTTCTTTTTATTTTTCTTATACGTATCCATGTATTCATAACTATGTTTTTACTTATACCTAAGCAACTGACAAACCAAATAAAATAAATAAAATAAATTATGGAAAAAGGTTAGTCCTAGCAAAAACCAGACGTTACAAGAAGATATCAGATGGGGCAATGTTTGTGTACATTTAGGATGTTGCAGAAATAGGAAAGTGGGTGTATGTGTGTATGAAGTTCCAGTTTTAAAACAATTTTCTCACGAGACTTTATTTTACTTCAGCCTACTTCAGTCGCCCATCTGAAGCCACCTATGCTGGCTAGGGAATTCTGGGAGTTGAAGTCCACACCTTTCAAATTTGCTAAAATTGGGAAACTCTGACATTAGTAAAAACTAGAAGTGGGGCATTGATGTAACCACTTCTGGGCACCACATTGCATGTAACAGAAGCTGTTCTTGCTAAGCTTCACACAACCTGGGTATTATTGATATTATTGATTAACCAGGGTGTTGTTGATATTTTCTCCTTAGATATCTGATGATTTTTACAGCCCAAATATAAATCTCTGGAATGACATCACAGCATGTCTCTATTATGTATTTCAAATTTGGTCTACAGGTAGTCCTCAACTTACAACCGTTTGTTTAGTGACCATTTGAAGTTACAACGGCACTGAAAAAAAAGAAGACCGATGACCATTTGTCATATTTAATGATGGTTACAGCATCCCCATGGTCAGGTTATCAAAATTCAGACACTTGGCAACTGACTCATATTTATGATTCTTGCAATGTTCTTGTCATGCCCCTGTTGGAATCTGATTCCAAGGGGGAGGTTGAACAGCTGACAGGGAGTGGGAGTGTGGCTCCGGTGGCTGCGGAAGAAACTGGGCAAGGGCACAGTCCGGCTGGGCATTCAGAGGAAGACCCAGCCCCACCCCCTCTTCATCCTAGGTCACACAGGGAGTAATGGAGAAGGGAGCAATGTGGCTTACGGGAGAGAAAAAGGCCCTGATCCCTTTCATTGGTTGCAGTTAGGAGAACAGGATATAAGGGCGTTTGCACACAGCACCTAGATGGAAGCAAAGTGTGCACGTCTTATCTGGGTTCTGATGTCCTCCCACCTGTATATGTGTCATTATCTTTTGGAAGTCTGCAATTCCTTATCTTGCCCTGTCTTGTTAATTGCTGCAGCATGGTTTGTCTTCGTTTTTATTTATAATTTAGATGTACTTTGGGTTTGGACTGAATTTCTTCCCATTAAAAACTGTTCTTGGGAATCGTTTTGTTCTCCAGCCGATGATAACTGGACAGTTAGAGGAATGAAAGGGACTTTGCCTACTTTTGTGACTTTGTTGCTTTATTGCCATGCTCCGAGTCATCACAGTTCTGGAGCCATGTGGTCACTTTCTGGGAGATACATGTTGGGGAATCGCAGGTTTAATGTAAGCAAACAGAACTGGTGTGTAGACCATTTGTTCAGAATAGGAGGTTGGACTAGAAGACCTCCAAGATCCCCTCCAACTCTGTTAACAGGTGGTCCTCGACTTATGACCACATAGTCATGTGATCACCTTTTGCAACCTTCTGACAAATACAGGTAGTCCTCAATGAGCTTAAACAACTGCAGCCTTTCCCTTCAAAACTGGGCCAAGAAAGCTCATAAAATGCAGCAAAATTTACCTCACAAATGTCTCCCTTAGCAGCAAAAAAGTTGGCCTCAATTGTGGTCATAAGTCGAAGACTATCTGTACTGTGGATCGACTTTTCCCGACCTAGTGCAATCCAGATAATTTCAAATTCCACCATTTCATCAAAGTGCGTAGAACAAATTCTTGTGTTCCACTAACTCCTCCACTCTCCCCTAAACAAACACGCCAAGTTAAATATAATTCCGGTAATTATAACTTTAGAGCAAACTTTGGCCAAGAGATAAATATAGTCATAGTAACCTTAGTCAAGACTCAGTTCGGAAATTATGGGCTTTAACAGACCTGAATGAGGCAAAATGGCAAAATGACAAGCTTGGTCAAAGAGAAGGTAAATTTAGACAATCTTAACTGTAATTTGGCAAGTCTTGGGAAGGCATTACAGGGTATTTCCCCCCCCTCCCCTCAAAATGGGCTTAATTAGAAGCTAAGTTGCCAAATTACAGTTTGAGCAAGTGCCACTTGCTCAAAAACGATTTTGCCTACAGGTAGTCCTCGATTTATAATCGAGCCCTTTTCATTGCTAAGCAAGACAGCAAGTGAGTTTTTCAGCGAGCATTTTACAACCTTTCTTGCCACAAGTTAAGTCAAGGCTCCCCAAGCTTGGCAACTTTAAGACATGTGGACTTCAACTCCCAGAATTCTCTTGGCAATTGAAGACTTGAAGAATTGACACAGTGTTTACACCAAGACAAATTCCTTGTGTGTCCAATCACACTTGGCCAATAAAAAAGTATTCTATTGTTGACTTGTGGACTTCAACTCCCAGAAAGCTATGCTGGCTGGAGAATTCTGGGAATTGAAGTCCACAAGTCTTAAAGTTGCCAAGTTTGGAGACCTCTGAGTTAAGTGAATCACTGCAGTTGTTAAGTTAGCAACATGGTTAAGTGAATCAGGCTTCCCCACTGGCTTTGCTGGACAGAAGATCACGGGACTATCTGACTCTACACCTGTTCTGTTGGCTTGCATTAAACCTGGGATTTCCCAACTTCTACCCATGGAGAGTAAGAGCCAGAATCCTGCAGGCAGAATGGCCCTTGCTGAGAATTCTGGGAGTTGAAGTCCGTCCATCTAGTTGCCACTACAGAGAAAGGCAGTGTTTTTCAAACTGGCAACTTTATAAGGTGTGGACTTGAACTCCCAGAATTCTTTGCAAGGACCATTCAGCTAGGGGATTCTGGGAGTTGAAGTCCACACATCTTAAAGTTGCCAAGATTGAAAAATAGAGAATTTAGCTACAGAAAGAAGTCCCATATTATTTTGAGGAAAGTTAGCATAAAGTATAAAAGACAAGATAGCTCATGCCACACATTTGGAAATTCTTCTCAAATGTACAGACTTAAAAAAGAAAAGGATACTGTTGTAATTTCTGCCTTTGGCTCATTGAATTGCTTTTTGCAATGATTTTTCGCAGGCCAAACACCCAGTGATTTGCTTCCGTTTCAGAGCCAGCAATGAGGTCCAAGTTTTTCTTCTGATCTTTGAAGATGATAGAGAAGCAACGAACTTCAGGGACATCCTTAGCGTATTTTTCCATCCCTTCGGTCTTATGGCCTGGCCTGACATCCTGGATTTCTTCAATGGAGACTGTAGGAGCAAACCCAACATTTGTCATCAGAGGCAGGCAATAAAACTGGTTATTGTTAAATGGTTAGTTATCTGCAGCAACCACATAGCATCATAGGGTTGGAAGGAGCCTTTTTATCTATCTATCTATCTATCTATCTATCTATCTATCTATCTATCTATCTACCCATCCATCCATCCATCCATCCATCCATCATCTATTTGCAAGTAGTCCTCGACTTATAACAGTTCATTTAGTGACTATTCACTGAAAAAAGTGACTTACGACGGTTTTTCACAATTATCACCTCTGCAGCATCCCCATGGCCACGTGATCAAAATTCAGATGCTTGGCAAATGATTCATATTTATGACAGTTGCAATGTTCTGTGGACAGGTGATCCCCTTTTGCGACCTTCTGATAAGCAAAGTGAATGGGGAAGCCAAATTCATTTAACAACAGTGTTACTAACTTAACAACTGCAGTGATTCACTTAACAACGGTGGCACAAAAGATCGTAAAATGGGGCAAAACTCACTTTACTAATGTCTTGCTTAGCAACAGAAATTTGGGGATAAATTGTGGTCATAAGTCGAGGACTATCTGTATTTTTGTATTACAGTTGTATGCCACCCATCTCCTTTATGACTATGGGTAGCTTATAAGTTATAAACAGTAAAAATTAATTAATTAACACAGATTATAGCTTTATTTTTTTTAAAATGTAAGTCTTCTAGTCTTAAGCCCTATCCAAGTCAGGAATTTTCATATCATCTCAGATAAAGATTTGGATTTTTTCCCCAAGATCTGCATAAAAGACTTTTGTAAATCATAAATAAATATTTGCTTTGCCACAAAAGAAAGAAAAACATATTTTAGATAATAAGGAATATCTTTGTTTTTCCTTTTCCTTTTGCTATTTGACATCACATCTATAAAGTGTTTTTTAGGATAGATTTGGTATGATTATATGATTTGTTATAGAATAAATTACCTAAATTATAGTTATCTTATAAAGTATGAATGAATAATAGTCAAATGATTTTTTTAATAATGATATGAGGACGTATAAGTTTGGATTGATAATAAGAGTTATTATGTAACATAACCGTAATTGAGACTACGAAACGAATGCACAAAACTGATGAACCAACCGACACACTGTTTGTATATATGTATGGAAGAGAGCTGATGTTTTTATGTTTTGTTTGTTTTTAAAAAAACCAATAAAAATGTTTTCAAAAAAAAAAAATTGCTTTGCCACAAAAGAAAGAAAAACATATTTTAACTGCATCTAAAACCAACACCCAAAACTTTAATATCATTCCTAAGACTAAAGTATATCAGGGAATTGCACAGCAAATGTCCAAAGGAAGTCAGAGATGCTGACATGAACTTGTAATTTTATATAAATAAATACATATAACACCTATATTTATAGCAGACAAAACAATCAGAGGCACGCTAACATCATGAGGTAATAAACCATGGAGCATACAGAGCTGCACATAAAGAAGAAAAAGGCAGGGAGGAAAAAGGGAAACTCCCCTTTTATACCCATCAACCAATTATAATGCAGGAGCCCGCACTCTCCAACCAATCACCTACAACTGTGTGTACTGGCTCATTATACATTTCATTGTTCCGGCTGTTAAATTAAATATCTTAACAAGGCAAATTTCACGACTGATTTGTAAGCCTTGTATTCAAATTCTCTGGAATACATGCTTGGGTGAAGAAAAGGACATCTATGTCCAGGGGCAGGCAAAAAAGTCAAGACAGCGGCCTTAACTACATGACTGAAGCTTCACTCTTGTTGTGGCAAATATCAAAAAAGAGGCTTCAATCATTTTGTCACTACTGCAATTTTTACTTTCTTTAGTTCCCTGTGAAAACCCCTTGCTGAAGAAATACAAAATCTAAGGAATTTTTTTAATGCATGTTCTTGTTTAATGAACATTCTAGAAGTTTCTTTCCTCCCTATGTTGAATTTCTTTCTAGTCAGTCAATCAATCACTCTTACAGCAGGCAACTAAATGCTTATGAGATAATAACTTTATTAATTTGAATTTAATCCGCAACAATCTTGATTTCTTTTTTTAAAAAATATTCATTTTATCCTGTTTTTGTTATTTTATAAGTAATTCAAGGTGGCAAACATATCTAATACTCCATCCTCCTTCTACTTTCCTCATAACAAGAACTTTTTGAGGTGGTCTGGGCTGAGAAACAAGGACTGGCCCAAAGTCACCAAGCCAGCTTTCATTCCTAAAGCAGAACTAGAACTCACTACCTCCTGGTGATTGGCCAAAAGTCACCCAGGAGGCTTTCATGCCTAAGGCGGGACTAGAATTCATGGACTCCTGATGATTAGCCCAAAGTCACCCAGGAGGCTTTCATACCTAAGGCAATTCACAGGTTCTGGTTTAATAATTTCTGGTTTAATGGTTTCTAAGCCAGCAGCTACAATTCACAGCTCCCTGTTTAATAATTAATCAATAATAATAATAATCTTTATTGTCATTGTACATATAAATAACGAAATTGATTTTGCTCCTGCTGGTGCTATCCATAACAAAAGTACAATACAACATAAGTAATATAGAAAATGGTCCTTCTACAAGTAATTAGGGAGAAGCCAGCCATATGTTTCCATGTATGCATGGAGAGATTGTAGTTGTATTTCTAAGCCCGTACACCAAATTGGCTCTCAAATTATAGAAATAAACTTCAAAATACCCCATTTAAAATCCTTCAGTTTTAAAAACTGAATCTGAATTCTGAAAGCAACTTGTTTCAAATCAGTTTCTCATTATTGTTTTAAGTCTTGTTTAAACAGGTCACAGTGCTGGTTATTTAGATGGCTTTCTGAGTGTAATAGGTTGTAGTTCAAACTGTTTATATAAAAACTGGGCATCTTGGTTGATTATTTGCAAATAGTCCCCAACTCACCATGCAAACAAATAGAGGATCACGAACAGAAATGTTCCTTCTTAGAGTTCCAAATTAATGTATTTGTAACGAACATCCATTTTAAGGCTGGATTTAAAATGGATTTTCCCTTCCTGGCCTTCAATTACTTTATCCTTCCTGACTTTATCTAATCCAGCACCCCACCCTGTCTTAGCAAATTCCACCACTTAGCTTCTCCAGCCAGGCAGATAAGATGCCACCCATTATCTAAGTAAGCCAAAATCAAGGATAATTCTTAGAAAATGCCCAGCCAGATGATACATAGCTGTGCAGATTTGCTTCCCCATGCACAGCCACAAAGAACACTCAGGCTGTTCATCATGTTTTTCTTTTATGACATCTCCACTTTTCAGTTATCTGTAAGAAGAGCTGGTAAACTTTTAGACTTTCAATTTCTAGCTGCAATTAGTCCTTGACTTACGACTGTAAGATGGCCATTACAGATAGCCCTCGACTTACAACCATTTGTTTAGTGGCCGTTCAAAGTTACAATGGCACAGAAAAAGTGACTTAACTTACGACTCTTTTTCATACTTAACGGCTGTTGCAGCATCCCCAGGGTCACATGATCAAAATTCGGAGGCTGTGCAACTGACTCGTATTTATTAAGGTTGCCTTCATGTCATCCGCATTTTTGTGACCTTCTGACAAACAAAGTCGACGGGGAAGCCAGGTTGTCTTAACAATTGTGTTACGGACTTAACATCTTAAGTCTTGTTAAGTCACCTAAGGAAGCCAAAACAACGGTTGCAGGAACTGGGTATTTCTAGGCTAATGAAAAGAAGGACCAGGGGAGACATGATAGCAGTGCTCCAATATCTGAGGGGCTGCCCCAAAGAAGAGGGAGTCAAGCTGTTCTCCAAAGCACCTGAGGGCAGGACAAGATGCAATGGGTGGAAACTAAGCCAGGAGAGAAGCAACGTGGAACTAAGGGGAAATTTTCTGACAGTGAGGACAATTAATCAGTGGAACGGCTTGCCTCCAGAAATTGTAAATGCTCCAACACGAGGCGTTTTTAAAAAGAAGTCTGGAAATGGGCCTGTTTCCAGCTTCTGGAGGGCTTCCAGAGCCCGTGGGAGGATGTTTTCTCCCTCCCAGAGGCCCGGGGAAGGCCTCCGGACCCTTGGGAGAGCAAAAACAGCCTCTTTAGGGCTCTGGAGGCCCACCAGAAGCCGGGAACAGGAAGTTCCAGTAGGCCACCCCTGCCGAGGTGGTGTAAGGTTTCCTGCCTGGGCAGGGGGTTGGACTAGAAGACCTCCAAGGTCCCTTCCCACTCTGTTATCCTAATCTAAGTCAAGGACTACCTGAACAGTTGTAATAGTCATAATAAAGTCACCATATGACTAGACATGGTTTTACTACTAATTTTGCAACAGGTGTTAACATAGTGGTCACTAATCTGTCCATCCTGATGGTCCGGCAGGGGAGAAGGGACGGTTCTGGGTGAAAGGCAGGCACACACAAGTGTGTACAGCTTCATTTGCACAAGTGGTGGGCGCCTGCTTACACAAATGAAACTTCACCATCACGGCTCCTTTTACTACCATTCTTGCTACAGTTGTTATGTGAGTCATTGCACTTGTTAAGTTAGTAACAGGTTTGTTAAGTGAACCTGGCTTCCCCATTGACTGTGCTTGTCAAAAAAGCTCGCGAAGGCTCCTTGAGGCACTGCAACGGTCATAAATACGAATTGGTTGCCGAGCATCCAAATTTTGATCACATGACTGTGGGAATGTTATAAGGATCGTAAGTGTGAAAAACGGTCCTACATCACTTTTTTCAGCGCCATTGTAACTTTGAATGGTCACTAAAGAACTGTTGTAAGTCAAGGATTACCTGTACAAGCAAACAAATCCCATTGGGTTAAAAATTATTTATGCTTTCATGCATTTACTTTGAAAGCTAAGGCTTGTAATGTTTTCTCTGAGGAAAGATATTAAAATCTGATTCCAGCTTGCCACATATACTGTTCAGTGTATTGATAGGTTGCAAATGGAACTGGGTTCCATATTATCTGGAACAAAAGAGCAATGAGTTGTCTTCCTCA